CTCAAGGTGAGAAAGATGGTCCGCCACAACAATTTCCGCACCCTTCTTATCCCTAATCTCAAACTCAAAAGTTTGCAATTCAAGCACCCATCGAATCAACCTAGGCTTTGACTCTTTCTTGGCAAAGAGATACTTGAGGGCCACGTGATCCGTGAAAACTATGGTCTTGGAACCCAACAAGTAACAACGGAATTTCTCAAAAGAGTGCACAATTGCTAAAAATTCCTTTTCCGTTGTTGTGTAGGTTTTTTGAGCCCCATTGAGTGTCTTGGACATATAATAAATCACATGAAGCTTCTTGTCTACACGTTGTCCCAAAACACCTCCAATCGCCCAATCACTCGCATCACACATCAATTCAAAAGGAAGATCCCACCTTGGGGCTTGAACAATAGAAGTGGAGATTAGGGCCTTCTTCAATCTATCAAATGCGTTCAAGCATTTGTCATAAAAAATGAACTCAACATCCTTTTGAAGAAGGTCATTTAGGGGCTTAGCAATAAGTGAAAAATCCTTGATGAATCTCCTATAAAAACCCGCATGACCAAGGAACGATCTCACTCCCTTGACATTCACCGGAGGTGGAAGTTTCTCAATCACTTCTATTTTTTCTTTATCCACCTCAAGGCCTCTATTTGAAATCTTATGCCCAAGCACTATACCTTCCTCCACCATGAAGTGGCATTTCTCCCAATTCAAAACAAGATTGACCTTCACACATCTTTCCAAACACTTCTCAAGGTTCACAAGGCACTCCTAAAATGAGACACCCCCCACCGAAAAGTCATCCATGAAGACCTCCATTTCCTCCTCCAACATATCCCCGAAAATACTCATCATGCACCTTTTGGAATGTAGCGGGTGCATTGCATAACCCAAAGGGCATTCTTCGATACGCAAAGGTCCCATAAGGACATGTGAAGGTAGTTTTCTCTTGATCATCGGGGTGGATGGGGATTTGGAAAATCCCGAATATCCATCAAGGAAACAATAAAACTTGTGCCTTGTTTGTCTTTCAAGCATTTTATCAATAAATGGAAGAGGGAAGTGATCCTTCTTGGTGGATGTGTTTAGACGTCTATAGTCTATACACATCCGCCAACCCGTGACTGTCCTAGTTTGAATGAGCTCACCCTTCTCATTCTCAACCACGGTCATGCCCCCCCTTCTTTGGAACGACATGCACGGGGGAGACCCACCTTGAGCTAGAGATGGGGAATATGATTCCCGCATCCAATAGCTTGGTGATCTCCTTCTTAACTACCTCTCCTATTAGGGGATGTAGTTTTCTTTGTCGTTCGATAGAAGGAAGGGCGCCTTCCTCAATTGTTATGTGGTGTTGGCACAAGGCGGGGCTTATACCTTTAATATCATCAATTGTGTACCTGAAAGCACCTTGGTGCTTTCTCAAAACACCACATAACGCTTGAGCTTGGCTCACGCTCAAGGATGCACTAACTATCACGGGGTAAGTGGAATGAGGGCCCAAGAACTCATACCTAAGGTGTGATGGTAGAGGTTTGAGCTCTACCATAGGCACACCATTACCTTCCTTTGACGTGGCCGCTTGCAAAGCTTCTTGGCTTGAGATTTTCAAGCACATTTCCTCATCCACTTCCTCTATGCTTCCATTAAGCAATTCCTCATAGAATACCATTTCCTTGCATGGTGTACCTACTTTGTCCTTGTTCAAAAAAACATTCTCAAGAGTATCATTAGAGGTGAGAAAGTGATCAAGTGAATCAATCATCATGCAATTATCTAGAGAAGAACATGGATACTTCATGCTTTCATTCAAATCAAATTCAATGACCTCATCTCCTACCTTAAGGGAAATCTTTGCACTCCTCACAACAATCATAGCACCCGAGGTAGCAAGAAATGGTCTACCTAAAATGATTGGAATGGTAGCATATTCATCCATTTCAAGCACAATAAAATCCACCGGGAACACAAACTTCCCAACCCTCAATGGAACATCTTCTACCTTACCTTTTGGAAACTTGATTGACCTATCGGCTAATTGCAAGGTAATGTTAGAAGGTAAGAGTTCCCCTAGTTCAAGCCTTTGATAAACCGAATATGGCATTATGCTCACACTAGCTCCCAATTCACATAAGGCATTATCAATTTACATCTTGTTAATGGCACAAGGGATGGAGAAGTTTCCGGGGTCTTTCAATTTGGGTGGCATTTTGTTCATGATGATAGCACTACGATTTTCGGTCAAATTGATAGTCTCCACAACCTCACAAGTTCTTTTCCCACTCAAAATGACCTTGAGGAATTTGGAATAATTTGGCATTTGGTTGATCACATCGGTAAAATGTAGAGAAAGATGAAGTTGTTTTAGCATATCAATGAATCTCCCAAATTGTTCATCCAATTTGTGTCTCATGAATTTTTGTGGGTAAGGGAGCTTGGGTTTCACAATTTCTTTCTCTACTCTCACCTCTCTAGGTGTCTCAACCACAACCTCATCCAATGATGACCTATCCCCCTCATTCTCAACCAAGGCTTCCTTAGGACTCTCCTTATCTTCACCCTTCCTAGGCAATCTCTCCTCAAGAACCTTACCACTCCTTGTAACAATAGCATTCACGTGTTTCTAGGGATCAAGACCTTGGGAAGGTAAAGAAGAAGGGCTTTCATGGTCTTTCAAAGCATTAGCAAGTTGAGAAATTTGGTTTTCAAGCATTTTATTGTGGATCATCATTTCATTGAACTTTTTATCACTGACGGCCATGTATGTGTTCAACAACTTGGTTTGATTCTCAATTATTTCTTCCAAATTGTTCCTAGGTGAAGAAGGTTGTGAATAGGAATTTTCTCCTTGAGTCCTTGGAACAAATCCGGGTGGGGGACCTCTTTGAGCATTATTTTGAAAATTGCCCCTCCCTTGATTGTTCCAAGTACCCCTATTTTGATTTTGAGCATAACCTTGATTATGGTTACCACCACCTTGATTATGATTACCACTACCTTGGTTATGATTTCCATAACCTTGGTTTTGATTACCATAATTTTGGCTTTGATTACCATAATTTTGGCTTTGATTTTGGCCACTATAACCTTGGTTATTATAGCTACCACGAGAACCTTGGTTCCCTTGGTTTCTATAACCACTACCTTGGTTATAGTTGTCAAAATTTCCTTGGTTTTGGTAATTCCTATTCCATTGACCTCTTTGGTTATCAAATCTTTGAACATTATTATTTGACACATAATTCACATGCTCACTCTCCCCATCTTTCCAATCTCTATAGTATGTCACCACGTCCTCAATAATGTCCACCACTTCTTCTTCGGTTTTGTTCATGATAAGACCCCCGGCCCCCCATCAAGGCATGACTTGCCTTGGGGACTTAAAACGCCACAGAAGATTTGGACCACTTGGTATGTTGGGATTCCGTGGTGAGGGCACTCCCTTTGATACTCTTTGTATCTCTCCCATGCTTCGTAAAGGCTTTCATTTGGTCTTTGCTTGAACCCTTGAATCAAGGCTCTTGCCTCCGCCGTCTTCTTTTGAGGATAGAAGCGGGACAAGAAGGCCTTTGTAACATCATCCCATGTTCTCAAGGAGTTGGGCTTCACCTCTTTATCTAGCCACTCTAAGGATCTTCCTATGAGAGAGAAGGGGAACAACTTGAGGCGGATGAACTCTTGAGAAACTCCGTTGACTTTGATGGTGTTGCAATATTTCTCAAATTCTTTAAGATGGTTTAACGGGCTCTCATTTTTAGCCCCACTATATTGCCTCCTCTCAATTAAGGTGATCATGGCCGGTGTTGTAGGCGGAGCTATATCGCTCTCAAACCTATATGCACCGGGTATTCCTAGCTCCTTCAAGGCCACTCTCGGATTTTCTCCCATGCCTTGCTCTTCTTCAATCCCTTCTTCACTTGAAGAACTATACCCCAAGGATCGATTAGCTATTCTTCTCCTTGAGAGAGTCCTTTCGATTTCCGGGTCAAAAGGCACAATGGTTCGATCGCGAGCTCTATGCATGCAAAACTCAAAGAAAATATTAGTAGCACGGCTACAAGTGTAGCCTAAAGAAATAAAATCTTTTTGTATTTTTCAATTAAAATGAAGTAGACTCGACAACAAAAGTTAAGCACCAATAGCATTCCCCGGCAACGGCGCCATTTTGACAAGAGGAAACACCTAACCAACCTTATATGAATATAGGGCAAGTTAAGGGTCGATCCCTAGGGAATGCTATGATGAAAACTAGAGTCTAAGTCAAGCTACCTCGAAGATGGAGTTGAGATTATGGTTGGCACTATGGTAAACTAAAACAAGTCTAATCAAGTAAATCAAAGGTCTAAACACTAGGGATATGGGTTCCACATGCAAGTTCAATGATAATGCTAGTTTAGAGCTCAATCAATTAATTCAAGTATTGCAATGGACAAACAATAGTAGCAATCAAGAAAGTTCAAATGCTATCTCCTATAGGCCAATATAGGTGTCACTATGAAAGGCAAATCAAGAAGAATCACAAGCAAACCCAATCAATTCGAGCAACTTTCAAATCAATTGTTCATGTCATTAAGAGTTGCAATGCAATCTAGATTAATCTTATAGGTTGATCACTCCTAGTCTAATCAATCACATGCAAAACTATGTCAACCAATTTAATTGCAACAAATCAATCAATCAAAGAGCATCAACTAGCAATTTCATTAATCAAACATGCTTCCTCCTTTCCCTAGCAACTAATCTACTCACTAATCATGGTGAAATTCAAGAACAAATAACTAGAAATTATCATTCTATACCAAAATCTAAGAGAAATCAAAATATTCAACAATATCAAACTCAAATCCAAAGAAAAACAAGCAACAAGCATAAATCAAATAGCAAGTAAGTAAGAGATGAAAGAAGGAAGAGATTCTCACTAATATTGATGATTGAAAATGAAGAAATCCAAACTTGATTGATCAAATGTTGAGTTACAAATCCAAAACCAAGAACTTCTCTCTAACTTCTCTCTAAATTCACTCTCTAAAACTAAGCTAATGAAATATTATCAAAAAGTTTCTTTCAAAAAGGAATTACAATTCTATTTATAAGTAAAGAAGAAATCGGCAAATACCGCGCCCGCTCCCGATGAACCCGCGGCCACGGAGAAATGGGTACGGAACCCTCCGGGGGCTATCTGGGCAACACCCGCGCCCGCGGCAATATAAACCCGAGCCCGCGAGGCAACCGCGGCTAATCCCCTGCTCCCAAAACTCAATCAGGGGCCCGCGGTCTCTCTGAGACGGAGCGCCCTCTCCAAGTTTCTCGCGCCTGCGGAGAGATCGCGGGGCAACCGCGGGAAGTTCTTGCCAAAATCTGCCATTTGTGCTTCTTGAGCCCGCGCCCGCGGCTTCACTAACCCGCGCCCGCGGCCTGCTGGCAATTCCTTGGAGACCTCTCCGAGGCCTCTCTAAGGCCTCTCTAAGCCCTCTATAGCCAAATGCTTCTTCCTTGCTTGGTCATTAAGGTCCCAACTTGATTCCTTTGCAAAGGTGATTCTCCAAGTACCTACACAAGCAAACAAAGAAAGGAAATAAAAAGGGAAAAAGAGCCAAATAAAAGGAAAACACGACAACCATAAAGAAAAGAGGAGAAAGAGAAACTAAGGGGAAAAGGACCAAAAATAAGAGAAGAAAGCATGAAAAAGGGAAAGAAACAACCCTAAAAGACTACCCTATGAGTGCCATAAATGACACTCATCATCATCTTAAACCGAACGCCTACATAAGTTTGTTATCACTAGCTACATAAACCTGATAACACGCACTCTAAAAAATATAAGACCTAAACCAAAGGAAACAAAGAGTACTTCTAAAAATTCATTCTAATACACATAACCTCAATTAACACACCAAGAACAAAGAGAAATCAATTATCATACCAATAAATCCACCAAAACAACCAAAAATATCATCTTTTCAAGATCTTTCTCAAATCCAAGTAGCAAAATCATCATCATTACAAACAAAGCAATCATCTAACATAACAATCCCAAACAAAATCACAAAACAAAAATAGATACTTGTATAATCGCACAAAACAAAATCACATTTGATACTAGTATACTCACAAAACCATTCCAAACAATCCCAAGCCGAATGAGAACAAAAAAAATCCAAAAAAACCCAAATTAAGCTCATAATTTGTCTCAATGAAGTTAAGCTGAAGGAGAAAAAAAAAATCCAAAACACCCAAATTAAGCTAGAGGAGAACAAAAATAAATCCAAAACACCCAAACAATCACATCACAAACCTGCACAATTTCCTTTTTTTTTTTTTTTTTGTGAACTTCTCCTTTAGGAAGTGGGAAAGACTCCTTTGCCTCAAGGTCGAACTCTGTGGGAAAAGCATCACTTATTCCCACCCACTTAACTGCCCCATTGTTCGCTTCAATATAGATAACATTTCCGACAGCCACTTGCATCAACAAATAAATATAAGAGATCTCAGAGTGTGTATTAATCAAAGACAAGAAGTAGTGTAGTTTTAATTAAACAAGCAAAGCAATACTAGCTTAAATTAAGCTCAAAAATAAAAAACACCCAAATTAAGCTCATAATCAAAAATCAACCATATCTCAAAAACCCATCACAGTTCCAAATTATAAGATTAAAGTACAATAATTCAATGAAAACCCACAAAATCCCAATCCAATCAGATCAATCCCAATCCCCGAAACCCAACAAACAAAACTGATTCCACAACAAATCAAAACCCCCATCAGATTAATAACCAAACAAAAACCAAAAAACAAAATAAACCATCATACTTCCAATAAAAAAAATTAAAAAAAAAAAGGGAATTGCAGCAACACGAGTATACCCAACTCAAACATAGAGTATAATCAGTCAACAAAATTGCTAGAAAATTGCAATAAAAATCACAATAAAATCGGAAATAAAACAACAATTTAATACAGAGTTAGCAAGAAAATAATCATATTAAACCAATAATAAAAAATTGCAAAACAATTGAAAAAAAAAGAGAAACCGAACCAAATATAATGTGACAGGATTAATTGATTATATCAATCGACTCCAATAAAGGCTCACATTTTGAATAATTCGGCAATAAAAATGGGGTTTTCTACCTTGCATGTTATATCAATCAACTCCCGTAGTTGATTATATAAATTTGTAGACTAATTTTACCCAAAATTGTTAAGAAATTGAATTTGTAGAAGTGAATTACCTAGAATAAACGATGCTACAGTACTACCAACTGTGTTGAACTGTTGAAGCCGCCGGAATAGAGAACCTTGTTTCGGACTTGATAGGGACGGCCACCGAAAAAACAGATGTACGAGGGTGAGGTGGAGTAGAAATCAAAAACCCTAGATCTAGTTGAGGAGAGAGGGAAGAGAGAGAGAAGAGGGAGATCTTAGTTGAGGAGACAGGAGAAAAAAGGGAAAGAGAGAACTTGAGATTGAGGAAAGAGAAAGAAACAAAAGGGGCGTTTTTTTTTTACATTAATGAATTTCCACCGGTTCAAACCAGTGCCGTTTCACCAATTTGGCACCGATTTGGTTTGAACCGGTGGCATTTCTTTTATAATAATTCCGCCTTATTTTTTTGTCACCGGTTCTTAAAACCCGGTGCTACTAACTCGGTTCCTATTTATATTTTTCTACTAGTGAATGGAGTTCTACCATGAAAGCAAAAACAAGGGTTTCAAGCTTTAAAAATGAGGAAGAAGATGACTAGAAAGTGAGAAATTATAACTCAATGAAGCATTGAATTACTTGCAAATTGCACAAATTAAAGATTAAAGAACAATTAGAAAACCCAAAGACAAGCTCTAAGCACCAACACAAACCCTCCAAAATTCGAATTTGAGCCCAAATTGTCGAATTTCAATTCGAAAATTTCAGAATTTTTTGTTGTTTTTGGAAGATTTGATTATGGTTTAATGTAATTTTGTGAAGAAATGAAAATGAAAAAATGTAATTGATTGAATATACAAAGGAATTGAAAGGGTTTGACGAGAAATAAGAGAGTAGAGGAATGAGGGGGAAGCCGGGGAGAGAGAAAAGGAGTGAATAAGGGGGGTTTTGGGAAAAAAGGGCACAAAAAAGGGTTGATAGCTGTTGTGACTGGTGCGTGCGCACCAGCTATAGCAGGGGGGCTTGTTTTGGCTTGCAACGCACAAAAGACACCCAAAATCTCTAACCCTATAGTGCGTGCGCGCATGTAGGGGGTGCGTGCGCACCAAGGGGTGATTGGGGGGTCAAAAAACATCAAAATTTCATCAAAAAGGGGCCAAAATTTCTGACCCCCCGTGGTGCGTGCGCGCAACCCATGATGCGTGCGCACCACATAAAGGCTAGGGGAGAGATATTTTCCCTTGAATATGCTCTCTTGCTTGAGCTTTCAACGGTGCTAACGAGCGTCATGATCGAGTGCTTAAAATTACACAAAAATAGTTCAAAACTCAATCGAAATTGAGTAGAAAATTAATGAAAATGCAAACACAAGAGCATATAATCCCAACAAACTCCTTCACCTAAGTTTAACCAAACCTCATGAAACCTTGAATTAACACCAAAATTGTTGGAAATTTTCTTCGATCCAATCTCATGGTACCTAAAATCAAGAAAAATAAAGAAAAATAAGAAAATTTCTCAAGGATAAAAGAAATATAGAGAATTGAAAAATCAAAAGAAAAAGGTTAGAAAATTGGGTTGCCTACCGGGTGGCACTTGTTTAACATCATAACTCAACGTCCTCCACCAATTAAGGTGGTTTTCGGAGAAGCAATATGTGAATAAGGCCAACAAAAGCACCATCGAAATACTTCTTGAGTCGATGGCCATTAACCTTAAATGAAGAGGAAGAATCCATCATTGAAACCTCTACAACACTACTAGGAAAGACGAATAACCAAATAGGGACCGCTCCATCTTGACATGAGCTTTTCGAGAAACAATTTCATTTTTGAATAGAAGAACTTTGTCACCAACACAAAACTCTTTCTTCTCAATAAGCTTGTCATGATTTTCCTTAGAACGAGCTTTGTAAACACTAGCACAATCGTAAGCATCAAGTCGAAGCTCCTTAATCATGAAGATCTAACCACCTTTTCTCCCCCACATTTGCCAAATCAAAGTTTATCTTCTTGATTGCCCATAAAGCACGGTGTTCAAGCTCAACCAAGAGATGACATGATTTGCCATAGACTAGGCGATATGGAGTGGTACCTATAGGTGTCTTGAAAGCCTTTATATAGTCCCAAAGAGCATCATCCAACTTTTTCGACCAATCCTTTCGATTTCTTGCAACCGCCTTTTGAAGGATTAACTTGATTTGACGATTGAAAACCTCTACTTGGCCGCTTGATTGAGGATGATATGGGAGGCCAAATTGTTGATGGACTCCATGCTTTTGCAACATCTTTTGAAAGGCATGGTGAATAAAATGAGAACCATTATCTCTTATCACCGCCTTTGGTACACCAAACCTTGGAAATATTACCTTCTTGACAACTTATGGTCATTAGTTGGGGAGGCAATGGCCTCAACCCACTTAGACACGTAATCAACCACCACAAGGAGATATTGATTTCCAAAGGACGAAGGAAACGGTCCCATAAAATCGATACCCCTAAACACTTCCAACTCAAGTATGGGTTGTTGAGGCATGTCATTTCACTTGGAGATATTCCTAACTCTTTGACAACGGTCACTTGTCTTAACAAAACACATGAATCCTTGAAGAAATGTGGCCACCATAAACCGCTTTGAAGAATCTTAGTGGCGGTTTTAGAGACATCCATATGGCCACCACTCGGGTCCGAGTGGCACATTTTCAAAACACTAGGCACCTCTGCATTTGGAACACAAAGTGTCTTACCTATCTCTTGAGCTTCTTTCGTTGATTCTTAGAAAAGGAAGGAGGAAACTCCCTAAAAGCAATAAAGTTCACTAAGTCGAAGAACCATGGGAGCTCCTTTTATTTGCCTCAATAGCATATAAAAAGTCATCAAGCATCCTATCCTCAATTAGATAACCATCATCATGAATTTGAGAATCCTCTAGGCGACAGAGATGGTCCGCCACAACATTTTCCGCTCCTCTCTTATCCCTAATCTCAATTTCAAAGGTTTGGAGTTCAAGAACCCACCGGATTTACCAAGGCTTGGACTCTTTCTTGGAAAAAAGGTACTTGAGAGCCGCATGATCGGTGAAGACAATGGTCTTAGAACCCAACAAATAACAACGAAACTTCTCAAAAGCATGAACAATAGTCAAAAATTCCTTTTTCGTTGTAGTGTAATTTCGTTGAGCACCATTTAGAGTCTTGGACATATAATAGATCACATGAAGCTTCTTTTCCACTATTTTACCCAAGACACCTCCAATTGCCGAATCACTCGCATCACACATCAACTCAAAAGGTAAATCCCATCTTGGGGCTTGAACAATAGGAGTAGAGATTAGAGCCTTCTTCAACTTATTTAATGCCTTCAAACACTTATTGTGAAATACAAACTCGCATCCTTTTAAAGAAGATTATTGAGGGGCTTTGCAATGAGCGAGAAATCCTTGATAAATCTTCTATAAACCCTGGCATGTCCTAAGAAAGATCTCACTCCTTTCACATTGACCGGAGGTGGGAGCTTCTTAATAACCTCAATCTTCACTTTTTCCACCTCTATCCCCTTGTGAGAAATCTTATGGCCTAGAACTATGCCTTCCTCCACCGTGAAATGACATTTCTCTCAATTTAATACCAAGTTCACCTTCTCACACCTTGAAAGACATTTCTCAAGATTTTCAAGGCATGCCTCAAATGAAACACCTCCTACGGAGAAATCATCCATAACCACCTCCATTTCCTCCTCCAACATATGTCCAAATATACTCATCATGCATCTTTGAAATGTTGTGGGAGCATTGCAGAGGCCGAATGGCATTCTCCTATAGGCAAATGTACCATATGGACAAGGGAAGATAGTTTTCTCTTGGTCATCCGGGTGGATAGGGATTTGGAAAAATCCCTAATAATCATCAAGAAAACAATAGAACTTGTGCCTTGTTAGTCTCTCAAGCATTTGATCAATAAAAGGAAGGGGGAAATGATCTTTCTTTGTAGATGTGTCTAGACGTCTATAGTCTATACACATCCTCCATCCCATAATTGTCCTCGTCGGAATAAGCTCACCTTTTTCATTCTTGACGACGGTCATACCTCCCTTCTTTGGGATAACATGAACGGGAGAAACCTACATATAACTCAAGATGGGGAACATAATTCCTGCATCCAAAAGTTTAGTGATCTCCTTCTTCACTACCTCTCCCATTTGGGGATGTAGCTTTCGTTGCCTCTTAATAAAAGGTAGTGGACCCTCCTCAAGGGTTATGTGATGTGTACATAAAGCGAGGCTTATACCTTTGATGTCATCAATGGTATAACTGTAGACACCCAAATGTTTCTCCCCAAAATCAAACCCAGGGATGAGTACCTTTCATGTCATTTTATTTTCAAACAAAGCGAAAGTATGAAAAGTCTAGTGATGAGGATGTTTTTATTAAAATATCTCTTCTTTCTGTTTTTGAAAATATTTCTTTTCTTACCTTATTTTTGAAAAACGTGCATTCTAGTTTAGTTTGGTCCATGATAAGGGTCCAATTATTGTGTAGTTGGATGGGATTTGAAAAGACCTTTCCAACGATATATTATAAGCCCAATTCCGATGAATAATGAGGAAGTTATGGCCATAATACTAAACTGGGCCCGATTTGATTTGTATATGCGGCCCAATGATTTAGAGGAAGGCCTATTATTAATTATCATTGCTAAAACTCTTAGGATTGATTATAGTCTTCTAGAATAATCTAGAAGGTTCTTTTAAATCCTAATGGAGTTAGGATTGATAATTATGTTTTAAGGAGTTTGAAATTGAATAAAACTACTCCTTTTGAGAATCCTTGTTTTGTACGAAGTGGAATATATTCAGATTTTATTTTCGTGGCTCATAATCATTATCCAAATTTTATATGGTTGGATAGTTCTTGAAATTATATTTTCAATGATATATTATAATATTAAATCCGAGATATAACGAAAAAGATATGAATGAGACATAAAACTCTATCCAAAACTGACACCCTTCCACTATTTCGACCATATCTTTTTATATACAAAATATTTTAATTTGATTCTAATTGGGTTGTAAAGTATACTTCAAGATCTTTCTAAAGACATATTATATGTCTTATTCGGACTTTCGGATAAAAAGATATGATAAAAAAAAACGCGTGAAACTAATTATTAGTGTCTGTCGCTAAGCATTAGCGCTTGGCGCTAAGGCTTGGCGCCTGGCGCTAATTGCCAGCGTCGACGCTAATCAAGTTTTATGCGCGTCAGAACTCTGTTTCGATTTTCTATCTTTTTGGCTGATTTTTTTCTATAAATAGCTTTCTAAAAACTCCGTTTTCATTCACCAACTCTCATCAAGAATTTCTTGATTCTCTCTCTCTTTCTAAGCCTAGCTTTTTACAAACACAATTCCTCATACTTTAGCACTAGA